ATGGTAGATAGCGACTCAAGTTAGACTAAAGTGAGATTAACACCTTCACGCACGGACGCCTTCAATTACATGTGCGACACGAGTCAGTGTCTCTCCCTACTAACTCGCCCACAGCTCTCATTCCTTTATTGGAGTATTTATAGCTCGAGTCAACTGTCACACGGGACAGGACGAATAAATTAGAGAATACTGATAAAAAAAATCAAATGATAGAAGTTTTCCGCCGACCCCGGGCTCGGATTTTTGAGGAGAGAAATCCGGGCTCGAGTCCCGGCTACTTCTTTTGGAAATTCATTCCAAAATTTCAAGTTGACAATCGCTGATATTGATATCTTCAGTGAAAGAGGATGATTCCAAACCTTATTCGCGCATCATTCTGTTTCCAACCGATTGGAAATTATCCCAAATTCCTTTTTACCCCAGGGATGCCCGCACAAGCGTCAAAATGAAGTGGATTCACTCATGACGCATCTGCGCATCCCTCTGCGCAGCTTGCGCATGCGCACTGCGTCGAGCGCTCGATATGATTTCGAAATGGTGTCCACTTCCCGTAGTTTCAGAGCTGATTAAATAATTAATTTCGTCAAAGAGTTGCGGCTCGATGTTATCCGCCAGTCGTTCAGAGAAAATAATTCAAAAAATTAACAGAACCCCACGCTCACCGTCTCCAGCGAAACCCCCCAGCGACCCAGGGGAAAGTGTCCATCGACGGCCTCTCCGGAGGCCTTGCAGTGACCTCGTTCGACCCCGAAAGATTCCAGTACAATAGTCCGTAACAGCGGCTCCCGGGGTGGAGGGAGCGACGCGGGGAAAACCTTCGAGTTTATGGTGGCCGCAGTAGACCTCCGTGGTGGAGTTATCGTACGGATATCTACTCTTGTAGGCATGCCGGGAGGACTCCGACTCGACACGGTCCTGCCCCCGTTCCTCTCCCCCCCCCCCCCCCCGCTCCGAATGTTACTGCACCTCGCCGCCACTGTTTCACTCCTCCACCTCCACCCGGAGCGATGCGTCGTTGAACATTTGCTTTAAAGCGCATAGGGCAAAAGAAGGATGGAACAGTGGTGGCTACCAGCGGGGAAGCGCACACGGGTTCTCTGACTTTTGCCTCCTCGATACAAGATACTGCCACGTGTTACACGTTGTTTCGCCACCATAAGGTAAAGGGGTCCCGTAGTTCGAACCATTCCTGTCGCTGAGGTATACGGGACAATAATGGATCGGCCTTTTGTCTGTTTAGGCTTCGGTGTTGTTTTGCTTTTGCACGATGTTTCTTTTCTCATCGTGCGATTGTATTTATTTTTTCGTGTTTTTTCTTCCGGGGATCATCCGCGGAATGGAGTGGCTCTCGGTGTGTACTCACGTCGATTCATAACATGAGAAATTGAAGGAAGGCAGTTCTGCTTGGTCATTGGAATCGGCTCTTGGAAAATACGATTGGGAATTGAGATATTTTGACGGGGGGAGAGGGAATGGGGAGGAGGGGGATAAAAATGAAGATCTCGTATCGCGAGAGGAGTGTGTGTCGTCGTTGGTCGGTCATTTGTTCAGATACACGAGGGAAAGGGGTCTTTATTTCTCCTTGGTTTTATTTTATAGAGACGTTTGATGCTACGGATAAGGATCTTAAAAGGGAATTCCAAAATCATCGTAAACTGCCTTTTTCCTCGAGTGACGCCGCCTCAAGTGCCAGAATGAAGTGGATTCACTCTTCACGCAACTGCGCATCCTTGTGCGCCGATTGCGCATGCGTACTACGCCGAGTATTTCATCCCAGGGGCTATGCACTCCAATGATTCAGTGACACCATAACTTCGAATGATTTCATTAATTTAAATTAAATTATTTCAGATTGTTTTTCTTCCGGGGATCATTCGCGGAATGGAGTGGCTCTCGGTGTGTACTCACGTCGATTCATAACATGAGAAATTGAAGGGAGGCAGTTCTGCTTGGTCATTGGAATCGGCTCTTGGAAAATACGATTGGGAATTGAGATATTTTGACGGCGGGAGAGGGAATGGGGAGGAGGGGGATAAAAATGAAGATCTCGTATCGCGAGAGGAGTGTGTGTCGTCGTTGGTCGGTCATTTGTTCAGATATACGGGGGACAGGGACTTTTATTTCTCTTTGGTTTTATTTTATAGAGACGTTTGATGCTACGGATAAGGATCTTAAAAGGGAATTCCAAAATCATCGTAAACCGCCTTTTTCTTCAAGTGACGCCGCCTCAAGTGCCAGAATGAAGTGGATTCACTCTTGACGCAACTGCGCATCCTTCTGCGCAGATTGCGCATGCGTACGGCGTTGAATATTTCATCGGATGGGCTAGTCACTCCGTGATTGGGTGACACCATAACTGGATTTCAATATGAATGATTTCATCAATTCAAATTCAATGATTTCAGAATATTTTTCTTCGGGTGAGCACGGTTTGTGCTCATGTCGATTCATAACATGAAAAATTGAAGGGAGGCAGTTCTGCGTGGTCATTGGAATCGGCTCTTGGAAAATACGATTGAGAATTGAGATATTTTGACGGTGGGAGCGGGAATGAGGAGGAGGGGGATAAAAATGAAGATCTCGTATCGCGAGAGGAGTGTGTGTCGTCGTTGGTCGGTCATTTGTTCAGTTACACGGGGGACAGGGACCTCTATTTCTACTTCGTTTTATTTTATAGAGACGTTTGATGTTACGTATAAGGATATTTTAAAGGGAATTCCATCACGATTGGGAGGATGTTGGAGTTTGTTGCTTTGTTGGAGGAGACATCGATCAATGTCTCTCTAGTTGGGGATTTCAGAGCATTGTGACATTTAGTGTCGTGGGTGGCTGGGTGCGACACGTTGAAAATGTCAGGGGGCAGGGATATAGATGTGGATTGGGTTGATAATAAATGCTTGTGAGGCATGTTTGTTTCGATGGATTGTGACTTGTAAGTGAAAAGTAATGAGGTAAATTGGAGGTAAATTGGTTGTTCGAGGGGAGTTGTTTATCCCACGGATATTTTATTCGTGGGGTTTCGGGTGGGGGATTGAATTCTTGGTGGTGATGAGGTGCACATTTTTTTTCGACATTCGCGATTGGTAATTCGTCGACGAAAGTGGGTTCTGCTGCAGCTGCAACTATTGCGAAGTTCACATCACGCTGTTGAAAATTTGTGGCTGAAATTTGTTTTTCAGTTGATTGTTTATGATCATTTTCATTGCTATAAGCAATACGACCGATGGGAATCTTATGGCCAATTTATCAGCTGTTGAATTTTCTTATCACTGAATAAGCTTTTAATCATAATTACAATACAATTCCTTCTAGAATACTTTAGACTCTTAAAGTTTAGAGTGTGAATTTCTAGAATTCAATGTTTATTGATACTCTGGTAAAAGTGCGTACCCATACTGTTGTCAATTTTTAGTTAGTTCACACGGTAATTCAATTAATCTGTTGTTCATCTCATCAATATAATTCCGTGCATAGAATATTGTCATCTCGTGTTTTCAGCAACCAAATTAAAAATTAAAATTTTTCATTTGGAATATTGAATCACAGCTTTTTCATTCATATCAGAAATTTTGTATTTGGATATTAATGTTATTTGTTGAAAGTGAAGAAATCAATCATCATTTTGAGTATATTGCATTCAGATTCTCCTTAAGATATCCTTAACGTCAAAAATGTGAGATAATCTCATAATTCTAGCTGCTAATTCTAATCAACTTTGTTCGAAGAAAACCTTAGTAAACCCAATATTAAGAAAGTAGAATTACTCTATTTTCCCCTGACCTAAATGATTTGGACAATTATCATTCGTTTATTCATGTTTCATAGAATGGTATTCAATTCTCTTTTGTTTGTTAGGCGGGCTTCATGAAAATTCGACGCAAGACGAGTGTACTCATATCCGCTATGTTTGAGTTCTAATTTTCGATTCGAGATATTGTTCATGCTTTTTTTAAAAAAAGGATAGCTCCACTAAGACTACAGGGAATTCCGGCATTTTGAAAATTCAAAATTTTATGGGAAAATCAATGGAAATTGCAAATCAATTATTCCATGGAAATTAATAGAAATTAGGAAATTTCAGGAATTTTTTGTAGCGAAGCTACTTTTCTATTTATTTCACCCCATTTCAATGCATTGTTTTCGAGCTCGGCTTAGCAACTGAATTTCGTACTGTGACACGTGTCGCCGATATATCGTTGTCCTTGTCGCAAGACATCCTCACGACGATTCGTAATAATTCGGACATCCTCGATCGGATGATCTAATACCGTTGTCGCGGGAGCTCACTCTCTTTCCAGCTCTCATGGTGAAAACCAAAGTTACTTTCGCTGTGAATAAATTCAATTCGATATATACGTTAATTCTGAGTGTTTTACGTTACAAAACCCTTCTATCCTTCATCGAACCCCACATTTTTGTTTTGCTGTTGCTCAAACATTTGAAATTTCAGATTTCAGTGAAAATTCAGTGAAATTTCAGAATTTTAATTTTTTTCAATTTCAGTGAATTTCCACTGAAATCTGAAATTTCAAATTTCAAAAAAAAAAACATGAAATTTCAGATTTCACTGAAACTTAACTAAAATTTCATAATTTTCCCCCTTAAATCGAGTTCAGTGTCACTCTCCTAAAAATTACTAGTCCATTGTTAATGAAATTTCTAATTTTTTTCCAACAGTCCAACAACTGCAAAATTTCTTGTCCAAATCAATTCAATATTTCCAGTTAAAAGAATGGAAAAAATGCACTCAAAAAATAAATAAATTATTAATTAATTAATTAATAATAATCAACAATAAACCAATTAATAATAATTAATAATAAATTAATTAATTCTATGAGACGCCGAGGAAATAATCATAAACCAAAGACCGTTCTTGAATAAAAAACTCAAAAATAATTTTTCATATTCTAAACAATAACATGCAATAGTTTTCACTGCAAGTCTCCATTACACCAAACGCCCCAGAAATCACATAAATAAAAAAACTTCAATAAATGTGAAGTAGTAAAAATATTTATTTATCGTCATCGATTACGCACAAACGAAATAATACTAAACTGTAAACATAAATCATTGGATTAAATCTTTCTCATCATAGATTTAACATGAATTTTCCTAACGAAAACATCTTCCCCCTCATCTTCGTCTCGGTGCCTGCTGTTTCTGCGGTGCTAGAGGTCGTGGTGGCTGCACCCTCTGCATCTGCTGTGGCGTTGGCATTCGTAACTGTTGTACTGCGTGCTGTATTACCCCTGGTAGAGCAACAGGATTTTGCACTGGCAGTCGCATTTGTTGCACTGCGTTCTGCACAGCCATTCGAATCTCGTTGACGATGGCTTGATTGCGTACTGGCACTCTAATTTGCAGGGGTTGGTTGGGGGCTACTGGCCGGGGTTGGCTTGGAGGTGGTGCTCGATGCTGGTTTGAACGTGGTGCTCGAGGTCGATTTGACTGAGGAGGAGCTGTCACTGGAGTACCTCCTCTAGCAGGACCTCCTTGAGGGGCTGGGGTCGCCACAGGAGCTTCGAGATCTAAAACAATTCTTTTTTCGTTAGAATCCTTCGTTTGACTGTAAATAACAAATCAAATCGGGAGTGAAGTGGTAAACCGGTATAAGTCGATATTGACTATTGCCAAGTTTTCAATGAATATCTCAAAATCTAAGGGAAATAGCAAAATTTTTGCTTGAATTTCATAACCTTTTTTGTAGAGCAAATTGAGAGCTACAAAAAAGAAAATTACAACAATTTCGCTATTTCCTTTAAATTCTGAGATATTTATTGAAAATTGGCCAATTGTCAGAATTGACTTAAACCGGTTTACCACTTTGCTACTGAAATCATGTGTTAAAACTACTTGCGTTGACTAATAAATGAGAAAAAAATTCGATTTTTGATGATTTTTTAGTGGAAAAATTAAAGAATTTTATTCAAAAATGTCGAAAGATGTTTTTTGTTGCTTATGAAATTCCCCACAAAAAACATCTGTGGATAAATCTACTGGTTTATGCAATATTGCAATTTTTCAAACAACAAGCAGAACGAATTTTCTCTTCTACTCATTAAAAATGAAAATAATAGTCTTTAAGGATATCCAAGTATTTTCTAGTCTGGTATAGACTACACTATCGATTCAAACATTTTTAATCATCAAATTTGTCAATCAAATTGCGTGAGAAATTTGTTTTTAAATATTCGTTGTTTATAAATAAATAATTAAAATTGTTTAAACTTTCGGAAATCCTATTTATTAGGCATGAAATCAATTTCTGGTAAAATTCTGAATATAAATAAATTTTTCTCCCTAATAAATCATGCGTTAAAGCCATGTATTGACTAATAATTAAGAAAAAAAGATTAAAGATTGAAGATTTTTGATGATTTTTTATTGGCAAATTAATGAACTTCATTGAAAAACGGAGAAAGATATTTTTTGCAGCTCATAGAATTCCCCACAAAAAAGATCTGTGGATAAATTTACTGGTTTATGCAATATTGCAATTTTTTTAAACAACAAGCAGAACGAATTTTCTCTTCTACTCATTAAAAATGAAAATAAGAGTCTTCAAGGATATTCAGATATCTTCTAGAGCTTGGCACAGACTACACTATAGATTCGATCAACTTTAATCATCAAATTTGTCAATTAAGTTGCGTGAGAAATTTGTTTTTAAACATTCGTTGTTTATAACTAAATAATTAAAATTGTTTAAACTTTCGGAAACCTTATTTTTCAGGCATGAAATCAATTTCTAATAAAATTCTGAATATGAATAAGTTTTTCTCCCTAATAAATCATCTGTTAACACCACTTATTGACTAATGAATAAGAAAAAAAGTTTAAAGATTGAAAATTCTTGATGATTTTTTATTGGGAAATTAACGGACTTCATTGAAGAATGTCGAAAGATGTTTTTTGCAACTCATAGAATTCCCCACAAATACGATCTGTGAATAAATCTACTGGTTTCGGAAATATTGCAATTTTTTTTATCAACAAACACAACGAACTTCCTCTTCTACTTATTAAAAATGGAAATAATAGTCTTTAAGGATATCTACACTATAGATTCACTCATTTTTAATCGTCAAAACATGCCAAAAAAAGAAAAATAAACAGCATAATAAAACAAGATTTAAAATCCTATTAAATAACAATTGAATAACAATTTAAAGAACAGAATCATTTACCTCGCCTCTCCCTCAGCAGCTGTGTCCTCTTATCCTGCTCCTCCTGAGGTAGATTGCCAACAGCTTCATCAATGAAATTATCCACCACCAGGGCTCTGTTCATAGAAGTGATGGTAGACCGACAAATAGGGCAATGATGTTGTTTCTGCCTCCAGGAACGAATGCAGTGGGAGCAGAAGGTGTGGGTGCAGTTGAGTGTCGTAGCCATGACGAAGAGCTCCTGGCAGATGCTGCAGGTAAACTGTTCATCCATGGCAGTCATGATCTTAGTCCCAACCTCTGCACCTTTATTGGAGGTCGAGGGGGCATTCTCCCCCGTTAAATCTATTGTCTCCAGTACTTGGAGCTTTGTCCCTTCCTCGTCACTACTCACTTTGTAGAGGTAGCAGTCTTTATTCGCTGTCATTTCGGATAGTAACACTGGAATTGAAGCATTCTTCAATTTTATTCGTCAATTTCCATCGATGATGAACTTTTAGTTCTATTATTCCATAAAAATTAACAGAAATCAAGTAAATTCAGGTAAAGACACTCTTCATTTTTTAATTAATGGGCAAGTCGATGTAATTTGATATTCAATATTTAAGTTTTCAATTTTTTAATTTTAAATTACGTAATTTTTTCACCCTGAATCGAGTTTAATGCCACTCTCCTGAAAATTACCAGTCAACAGTCAATGAAATTTCAAATTAGGGCTAATTACCTAAATTTGGAAGAATATGAGTAAAAAAGTGGGAAAAGCTCGTCTTCATATGGTATAGTTATTTTTGCTAATAAATTAGCAATATGCTTCCGAATGGTCATTTTGCACACATTTTCTTCTATGGTATGTAATTCATTGTTCATTTTATGTTATTAAATTGAATGAGATTTATTTTTAAACATCTGTGTCAATTTTCAAATTAGCTGAATGCTATCATTATCATTATTCTCATTATCCCTTTCTTTCATACAACCGATTGTCTTTTTGCGGTCCTATCACTACCCTCAGCCCTTTGTTGCTTCACGGGCTGACATTCTCGTCCTAACTACGTGGCATTTACTTCAGGAGCTATATTTCCTATTCACGTTTCAGTGTTTATATTTTCGTTCAACGGTTTCCTAGTTATTGAAATTGGCTTTTTTATCGGCTCTGCATTCCATAGGTGAGTTGTCTACATAAGCCACGTTTAGGCCGTTGTTGTCAATTATTATTAATATATGATAGAAAATTCGAAATGTGCAAAAATCATCATAAAAATAAAATCAACAGATTTAGCTGTCGTAATTATCGTTCAACTTTGACAGTGTGGCATTGAAGCTAACATTTTAAGCTATAATTGAATTCATTTGAAGCATTATATCTCACGATAGCCCCGGAATTCCGATTTTCAAAAAATACAAAAATTTTGCAATTTTTATATAAATCAAAACAACGATTATTGCTATTGCCTTCATCTTCGAACTTGGTCAAAAGGGCATCTAAACAATTTTTTAAGCCATCATTCAATGAATTCAGAACATTTTTTTTAGTTATCGTGGGTCAACCGATTTTTGAAAAAATTCAAAAATTAAACAAAATATTAATTGAATTAAAGATAGCGCGCAAAAATACCGACATTTGGGGAAAAAAATGATTTAATTCCGTCGATTCATTCGCTACCAATTGAAGAAAACCATGTTATGACTTTTTGGGTCATGTCGATATAACACAAAAAATAAGAAACTTGCAAAATCATACCCGATTGATTCCTAAATTGCTCAGCAACCGCAGCCTGCTCCTTGAGAGCCTTCTCCGTCTCCTCCAATTTCTTCTGAAGCGCCAGCTTCTCAGTGGCCACAGCAGCCAACTGCTGTTCCTTCCACGCATTCATCTGCTCAGCCATGTTCCTCTCGAAGACCTCCTTCTCCTGCTTGGTCATGTCCAGCGCCTCCTGCCACTTTCGCCTCTCCTCGACGAGCTTCACCTCGAACTGTCTCCTCTCCTCGGTCATCGAGTCCACCAGCTGCTTCAGGTTGTCCTGGAGCTGGGCCTGATTGTCCTTCGAGGCTTTGATCTGCTCCTCCAGGAGCTTAATCTGATTGTTCTTCTCCAGGGACTCCCCCTGCACCGCCTCCTTCTGCTTCCTCAAGTCATCGAGACGACTCGTCAATTCCTCGGTTTGCTTCTGTTTCAGCAGTATTTTGTCCTCCATCTCCTTCATCTGGGCCTCCTGGCGCTCCTCGAAGATCTTCTGTTTCGCTGATACAGCCTGCATGAGGTCCACCTCCATCCTCGCCCTCTTCACCGCTGGACTCTCCTCTTTGGGACACATCTTCATGGTGTAGATGAATTTTTTTGTGTCGCCGAACGCCAGCTCATCGTCCAGCTTCAGGGGGTAAGTCACGTTGCGAATTAATTTTGTTCCGTTTAAGAACGTTCCTGAGGAGCTTGAATCCATTATCGTGAAGTCGGAGTCGCTTTTTTGGATTACGCAGTGGTTGCGGGAGATCGAAACGTCCAAGATTATTCCGTTGTTGTCGGGACCTCGACCCAATTTAAACTGGAAATTCATTGGTTTCAGGGGATTAGGGAAGGCTGGGGTTTAAAGTAGCTCTACCCCAGTTTCAGTTCAGTTTTTAAATTTTTCAACTAAATTGCATGGAAAAAATTTGAAAAAATTCATACCTAGTCAGTATTATCTAAATTAAATTTCGCAAAATATTGATATTTTTTCAAACATTTCCCTCTTATAAATAAATAATAAAACTTGTTTGCAAAACGATGGATTATTTTTATGAGGTGTCAAAAAAATTCTTTATTTTGTCACATCTAATGAAAAAAAAATCAGATTTTAATCTTTGATTACAATGGAAATGTTGATTTTTCACATAAGACACTGGGTTAAATCCTTATTTTTAAACATTTCTTCTTTGAAAAACCAAAACGATAATTAAATTGAGAAAACAATTAGAATTCCGAATCTAATCGAGTTCTCTGCAATTGTTTTGCAGTTTTCAATAATCTTTGAATTTACCGTAAGGGTAGAGCTACTTTAATGCTGGGAACGTTCAATTGTATTTCAATTTTGTTTTTTTGTCAATTGAAAAAAGAACTTGGAAGAAGTGATTTTTCAAAGAAACATGATTAAATAATAAAAAAAAAAATGTTGCAATAATAATTAAATTTTTTAATAATTAAATTTTTTAAAAATAATTTTGGGTTCAAATCGTTGCATAATGATAAATGCAATTTTAATTAAATCTTTCAGAATATTTCCCTTTCATTTTTCAATTCTATGAAATATTAAAATAGAGCGAGAAATGGAGAATCTGTCCATCGAAGTGGAATGCAATGAATGATAAGGATATTCGAGATATTACAAATGACATAATTATCATGTGGGAACAACGATAAATGAATAATTTTTTTTTCTACAATAATAAACATGACATAATTATCTAAAACAAATGGAATTTTTCAAAATCTTTCGAAAAAGTTTCCTTGCATTTTCCAATTCTATGAAATATTAAAATGGAGCGAGAAATGGAGAATCTGTCCATCGAAATGGCATGCAATGAATAATAAAGATATTTGAGATGTTACAAATGACATAATTATCATGTGGGAACAACGATAAATGAGTAATTTGATTTTTTTCTGCAATAATAAATATGGCATAATTATCTCAAATTGTCCTGATGATGATAAACCATTTGAAGTACTATTCTCATTTAATTGAATAACAATTGACGTTATAATCAACACTATAATTCGATGATAATGAGATTCAGAGTTTTTAAATACTCGAATCTCAGTTTCTATGTAAGCTTGAGGGTTAAATTGAGGAAATGCTCAATGTTATTTTATCATTACTTGAACAAGAATATTTGAATAGTGCATTTTAGACAAATTTTGATATTGGTGAATAGACTTTGGTCGAAATAACTTCGCTAATAGAAAATTTTCCAAATATTTTTCCATAATTTTTTAACAATATTTGAAAAATTGAAAGGATTGTAGAGATATAATAAATGGAATAATTACCAATAAAGAAAAAAATACTGTTGAAAATAAGGAAATAAAATAGGCAGTACTAAATTACGTCAGTTTAAAACCATTTCAAATTCGCTAAAATAATGAAAATGACATAATTATTTAAAATAAATAAAATTTTGCCACATCTTTCAAAATATTTTCCTTTCATTTTTCAATTCTATAAAATTTTAAAATAGAGCGAATAACGGAGAATCTCTCAATCGCAATAGTAGGTAATGAATAATAAATTAAAGATGTTAAAAACGACATAATTATCACGTGGGAACAACGATGAATGAATAATATAGTATGCAAAATGAAAAAATAAAAAGAGTAATCCTAAACTATTTCAGTTTAAGAAGAAAAGTAAATTAATCACTTAAAATTGTCTTAAATAATGAATATAACAATCAACTCAACTAATCCTCGTCATGAAAAAAACATTAAAAATTTCATTCCCATTTAATACCCATAAAATATTCCCAGAGAAGACTTGAATAATTTTTTCATGCATTAAATGTTGGAAATTGAAAATTGCATTTGAAAAAAAAATTTCTAAAACTTTTGAATTGTAGAATTTTACAGACATGTTTGACACGTTCAATAGTTTTTTTATGTTAATTTTGGTAAAAAATGAGTTTTCACTCATCCACAATTACAAAATGTGTTAACATTGTTCGTCACATACATGAATAAATAAATAAAATACTTACCACATCCCTGTTTATTTGAATATCACGACCCAACAATTTTTCTTTGTTGAACTTAACCAAAACAGGAACCAATTCCACCGTCCTTTCACGTCTATTCGATGGCGATTCTTGCTCTGTTGGACTCTCCATAACGAAATCACAATTGTTCTTTCTTTCATTAAATATATTCACCAATTATTAAACTAGAAAAAAATGGAGAAACAAAACAAAACCACTTTCGGTGATTGCACGCCGGTTACAACATGTATTCCAAACATCAGGTGGCCACCAACTGATGCACGCAGAGCGAGAACTGCGGTCTATTTTTTACATACCTGGGACATCTGTCGGATGTCATTCGCTCGGTCGATATGTCCGAAATTCGCGGGAAGCGCCAGGTGGCGCGAAATTTCTTGTCCCTATTCGATTTGAATTCAAGATTTTTCAATTGAAACAATAAAATAGTACTCCTCATTTTAATATTTAAAATGTTTTAAAATAAGATTTTCAAAAGTTTGAAGACTTTAATTAATTCATCAATTAACTAATTATTTTAAAAAGTAATTAATATTAAACCTAATTAATTAATTATTTTTTAATAATTAATTAATTAAAGTAGTTAGTTATTTTAATTAATTAAAGTCTTAAAACTTTTAAATATTATTTTAACTGGAGACGGTCAGAAGTCTTAAATTGAGATCTCAAAGCCTCAAATTAAAACTCTTAAAACAAATTTAATTATTTTAATTAATGAATTAAATTAGTTTTAAGAGTTTTAATTTAAGACTTTTAAAAGTTTCAATCTGAGCCCTTCAAAGTTTCAAGTTGAGGAATAAATCAGCAGCGAAGTGGTAACACGGTTCAAGTAAATTTTGACTATTGGTCAGTTTTCAATAAATCTAATCTATCATCTTAAATCCTAATCAGAATTGTTCATTATTTTTCCGAAGATTTTTGAGTTTGATGAACGGAGTAACTATTTCCCCTAGATTTCTAAAATGCAAAGGTGTATTATCTACACTGTTAGAGAATTGCTCTTGAAATTTCAAGCAAAAAATCTTGAAATATTTAACAACGAATAATTTACATGGAATTTCCATTGATCTTATTATTGATAGATCGATCAATGTTGTTGAATATTCAATGAAATTTGATTTCTCAGGTTCATACGACAGTGAAAATTACTTAAGAAGAAAATTCACGGATAATTTTAAGTGAAAAAGCTTCAAATTTACCTAAAATTACTCTTGAAATTTCAAGAGTAATTTTTACAATAAAAAAAAATTACTTAATCACTGAATGATCACTGATGTCTGTGATTAATTAATTTATTAATTACTCTTGAAATTACTCTTGAAATTTCAAGAGTAATTTTCTAACAGTGAATTCAGACTATGAAACTTTGATGGAGAGAAATCAATCCCATCATTTCCCCAGGAGAAACGATGGAATTTCCCAAAAAAGTTAATTTTTGACGTTTTTTCACTAGTTTTATGGATAAATCCAGAAAACCGCCGAGACAATGTTGTTCAAAATTTAATCATCTCTAAATTACCTCAAAACGGATGAATTGCATAAAAAAATTTTTTAATTGGACCGTTTACTGAAGCAAAATTATTAGAAAAACTTTTTTGCACACACCCCATCTGAAACCTTCACAGATAGTTTCCAGAGGTCATGGAACGGGAAGATATCACAAAATCCCCAGTTTCGATTTCCGCAGCTATTATAATAACTCCCCGATATAAATCGGGAAGTTACTAAATCTCCCACATGCAACGGTAAATAAATTCAAACAAAAATAGTGATAGGATCACCGGGTTTACCCAGCTGTTCACTTTACCGATAATTTAAAACCGCGGAATGCGAACAAAGTTCGCGGTGTGTGCTCCCCTCAACCCATAGACAACATTTTGTTGCCTCGCCTACTCACTCCTCTCAGTTTCCCCAACTGACTTTACGAGCTTCCAATATGTATTTTTATACTCATTTTAGAATTTACACGAGTCAACTTTCCCCGATAAAATATTCCACCGCGTGAATATTTTATTCCCCAATCGATCTTTCCCCTCGCAAAAGACAGAGAGATTATCGGCATAAGCCAAAGGAGAATAAACGATGGAAAAAAAACTATCAAAAAAGAAAGACAACCTGAGGAATAAAAACGCAAAGAAAAAAAAATCTCCACTGGAGTGAGCGCTGGAGGGTCACTAGGGTCACGAATCGCTCGTGTTGAGGATAGAGGCAATAAAAGCAACGGGCAAAACGGTCAATCGAGAAAGGGAGAATGAAAAAAAAAATGAAAAAGAAATCGAGAGAAAAGAAAAATAAGAGAGATATACCCTATTACCATATGGCTTATATACGAAACCACGGGGTTATAACTGTGTGGAGTATACGTTTCCTCGTGGTCTCGCGGTCAGTGTCGCCATAACTTGAAAATAAATAAATCCAGAGTGCCGGATAAATACCCTCGGACGCCCGTACGCTTGTATAATGCAAATGCAATCATGTCCGAGGAGTTCTTCCTCCCCACCCAGTCCCAAATGAGAACAAAGTATAGTTTAATTTGTCGTCTTGCTTTTTTACATCTCAATTTGACAAAAACTAAGTTTTTAAATAGTACTATTTCGGCGTCTTTCACAGCAGGTGATGACTTTTACAGTGATTCACTGGGAAGACTCGTCTTCCCCTTGAAGTGTGGATCGAATGACAATTGAATGATGTATTGATTATGTTGGGCGTCAGTCTTTCGTTTGATTGGAATGAATATATTTCTCTTGAGACATTCATTAGTGACGTCATTAAACCGCATTTGTAGTTCTTTATTGACTGATTGCGGCGCTAGGCTGCAGTTCTATTGTGGCGCGAAGGTCAAGTTGCCTTGAATCCATAGTTTAATTTGTCGTCTTGCTTTTTTACATCTCAATTTGACAAAAACTAAGTTTTTAAATAGTACTATTTCGGCGTCTTTCACAGCAGGTGATGACTTTTACAGTGATTCACTGGGAAGACTCGTCTTCCCCTTGAAGTGTGGATCGAATGACAATTGAATGATGTATTGATTATGTTGGGCGTCAGTCTTTCGTTTGATTGGAATGAATATATTTCTTTTGAGACATTCATTAGTGACGTCATTAAACCGCATTTGTAGTTCTTTATTGACTGATTGCGGCGCTAGGCTGCAGTTCTATTGTGGCGCGAAGGTCAAGTTGCCTTGAATCCATAGTTTAATTTGTCGTCTTGCTTTTTTACATCTCAATTTGACAAAAACTAAGTTTTTAAATAGTACTATTTCGGCGTCTTTCACAGCAGGTGATGACTTTTACAGTGATTCACTGGGAAGACTCGTCTTCCCCTTGAAGTGTGGATCGAATGACAATTGAATGATGTATTGATTATGTTGGGCGTCAGTCTTTCGTTTGATTGGAATGAATATATTTCTTTTGAGACATTCATTAGTGACGTCATTAAACCGCATTTGTAGTTCTTTATTGACTGATTGCGGCGCTAGGCTGCAGTTCTATTGTGGCGCGAAGGTCAAGTTGCCTTGAATCCATAGTTTAATTTGTCGTCTTGCTTTTTTACATCTCAATTTGACAACAACTAAATTTGTAAATTGTACTATTTAGGCGTCCTTCACAGCAGGTGATGACTTTTACAGTGATTTACTGAGAAGACACGTCTTCCCCTTGAAGTGTGAATCGAATGACAATTGAATGATGTATTGATTATGTTGGGTTCGTCAGTCTTTCGTTTGATTGGAATGAATATATTTCTCTTGAGACATTCATTAGTGACGTCATTAAACCGCATTTGTAGTTCTTCATTGACCGATTGCGGCGCTAGGCTGCAGTTCTATTGTGGCGCGAAGATCAAGTTGCCTTGAATCCATAGTTTAATTTGTCCTCTTGCATTTTTACATCTCAATTTGACAAAAACTAACTTTTTTAATTGTACGTCTCTCAAGACGTATTCATTAGTGATGTCACTAAACCGCATTTGTAGTTCTTCATTGACCGATTGTGGCGCTGGGCTGCAGTTCTACTGTGGAGCGAAGGTTAAGTTGCCTTGAATCCATTCCAAATATATCTTTCAATATTAATTACCAATTGTCCCCATTTCTAAATGACAACAAAGTATAGTTCAATTTGTCGTCTCGCATTTTCCCAAAAAATATTATTGAAATTAATTAACAATTTCAAACCAAATACGTAATAACGACATTTCAATCATTTCCAATGCAGATTGTCTCATTAGACTCATCAACATGATTATTAATTCCCAAATAGCTTGAATAACCACTGAATCACGCTCGATCTCTCCGATCGTTCTCGATTTATGGCTAATTATCCCTGGAGCACCCAGCAGTCAGACTCCATGTGGTGACGTGTCGGTTAAAAGTTAACACACAACGCAAACCCACACACAACCCCATCCCGTGCTAAACGCTCGTGTGTATCTCTCTAGATACGTAAAACTGATTACGCAATGGGATTCGCGCTCTCGTGTGTTCAGCCGTGTGTTAGTAAACAACTTGAGTAGATTTAGATCAAAGGGGACGGGCAAATACAGAATAAACACACATACGGGCGTTTGTGGTTATGTCGAAGGGATCAAACGTAAGGCTGAAGACACGCTTCCTTGAGGCATTAGAGACGTACGTCGATTAATGTGCTTTCCCCTCAATTCAATGTGAGATCTGTTAGACTGTACGTTCAGTCACTGTTGTTTTAAATCCATTCGAAATAATTGACGTCCTGGAGTTATAACCGATTGGGTGAATTTATCGCGAGGAGGAGAGAAACAAAGTGGTATTGCGTTTAACGCTAATTTATTTTTTCACTCAGTCGAGAACAAAAAGTTAAGGTATTTATGGCGGGGTGGACTTGTACGAGGTGAGACGGAGGGGAATCTAGTGTTCTCTACAAATTTTCAATCCATCTCGACCGTTTTTGGGTTCGAAATATTTTTTTAATAACTTTTCTGTTTTTTTCACGTATTTTAGCCTTCTTTTATTTCTTTAGCTTGTGCTTTGGATAATTGGGAAATTATTAATATCGATAGGAAAAGTGACAGACAGCACTGATTCACTCAGCTGTAAAGTTCCTTCCCATAGCGACATGTAGCATTACAATTCCATTCGTATTTCCCGCGCTTGCCCCTCCACGATTTCTAACCTCAACGTTGTCGGTTTTCCAAGTTGCGCGCGCGGAATTCCGATTTTTAATGGATTTGTTAATTATCCGTCCTACATAATTTTCCTAGGCCGCTTGAATTT